TTCTAAGAAAACCCTATGAAATTCATGAGGCCACTATAAGTCAACAGGTGATTTGAAGGCATACACACACACACCCCAAAAAACCATTCTGATCTGGACTGGTCCTGCATATACTTAATAGAGGCTTAGCTGCACAGTATTCATTTAATGGATTGTGAAGCTTAGACAGGAAGCAAAACCTGAATTCAACCACTTTTGTTTTTAACCAGTATTGCTTTTATGTTTTTAAGAGCAATCCTGCATGTAAGAGGAGAAGCTTATTAGTGTGGCCAAAACAAAACAGTCTTCTGCTGCTCAGTTTCTGCTTAATAGAACATAATAGGTTAACAATTTGTCTCCCAAACTTTTATACTAATACGAGGATTAAAGCATCCCCATGTCCCATGAATTAGGGTTAGATCTGTAATCTTGTTTGAATCCTTCTGATACAGTAACAAAACAAAACCAAAAAGAGTGATGTAAATAAAGAAGATGGGTTTACATAAACTGCATTTCATATGTAGCTACCAAAGACAAATTCATCTTGCTTCTCCACAAAGAGTTAAGATCTCAAAGAAAGTGTAGTTTCACTTGGCAGGAAAAAAAATGTTACAGCTTTGGAGCTCCTAAACAAAACCAAATGCTTGGAAACTGTTGCACGCTGCAGGAATGGAAATACTTCTCATAAACCAAATTAACAGAGAGGCCTGAAACTCTGTGGATATCCTTGTGCTGTTCATTATAATGTGCTTGGGATTCTCGAGTTTCTGTAAGTTTAACCAACACAGGAACAACTAGTGCTTGGCACAGGTATATAGACTCCTCTCTGATTGTCCAGGAACACTTTCATTTTTTTGGGGGGGGGGGGAATGTTGGAAGGAGTTTTAAAGATTATTACTTCCTCTCCATAATCCACTAAAATGTAAATCATTCCCAAGGTATGTCGGTGAGGTTGCCAGTTTGGCAGTATCCCAACGCCTGAGACTCACAAGGTAGGAACTGGTGGTGGCAGGGGGTTCCTAACTATTAAAAATAGTGGAGCCCAGCGATATGAAAACTAGTGAGTCTATGACAGGGAAAGAGAAAAATGGGAGGAAGGGGAGAGGGGCTGAAAAACATTGCCATCTGTAAAGAAGAAAGAAGGGAAGACTATCTGCAGCTTTTGAATATTGATTTTTATTTTATTTTATTGGCTTTCACCTGGTTATGGGTAGTAACAATTTAGCTTTGGTCTTTGCATGAAAGAAGTCATATATATATATAGTTTGTATCACTAAAGGGGGTGAATGCAAGATTTGGAGTTGTGTTTGCTTATGTCTGTTATGACTGTGTAAAAAGATGATTAAAATGTCTGCAGAAAGGAAAGAAAGAAAGAAAGAAAGAAAGAAAGAAAGAAAGAAAGAAAGAAAGAAAGAAAGAAAGAAAGAAAGAAAGAAAGAACCTGTTAAGGCAAAACCTGTTTTCATATGATAAATGAAATATATTTAAAAGTCGTGTACTGAATAATTCAGGGCCAGTATGTTACAGTGGTTTGAGTGTTGAACTATGATACTGAGAGACCAAGGTTCAAATTCAACTCAGCCATGAAAACCCACTGCGTGACCATAGGCACATCACACTCTCTCAGTCTCAGAGGAAGGCAAAGACAAACCCCCTCAGAGGAAATCTTGCCATGAAATCCCCTTGATAGGATCACCTTAGAATTGCTGTAAGTCAGAAATAACTTGAAGGCACACAACGACATCTGAAATAATATTGTTGCAGCTAATTATACTGCTAAAAATCTCCTACATTCAAGATTCAAAGTTAGTAACATTAATGATAGCATGATGGTGGTGGCACTATGAAGTATTATACCCTGTAATCCAGTTTTTTTTTTTTCAAGCAGACCTTGGAAATGTGAGTGGAAAACCTAAAACAAGCTGTGCAAGTTGCAAGCTGTGCTTTCAAAGTAAGGAGTGCCATGCTTGTCACAATTCTCATTCCATCCCCAAGGAAGCTCCAGCCACCGATCAAGCCTCTTTCTGCACTTTCCTGTCACACTTCTGAAGATTATGCTGTGGTTGTTTTCTTTGCCCCACACTTTACCCCATGCTGGTTCAGAATCCACTGTTCCTTTGGCTGGGTAGTTATTGCTGGAAAATGCAAAGGTCTTAAAATGGAGCTTTGGTCAATGTGTGAAAAGACTGGCTTTGTGACACATGGTGATTTAGTGATCATGTGCATGTATTTAGATCTGGCATGGATGAAGGGGGTCTTCCAGATGTTTTTGGAATGCACTTCTCATTAGTTGTAGCCAGTATAGCTATAGTGAGGGGTAATGGAAGTTCCAGTCAAACAATATCTGGAGGTTCATAGATGCCCACATGGTCCACATGGTATGTACACAACAGAAGGGATGCAACCACTGACATGTGTAATGCTAGTAATTTTAACCAGCAGCACTTAGTGATGTGTATATACATATATAAGGGACCAGGCTATTTTCTCAGCAGCTACTTTGACATTTACTCTTGCAATCTGCTTCGCATCTGTTACTCAGAAGCAGTTCTTACTGAGTCTAATGGGACTTAAACCAGTGCTGGCTTCCCTGTCTGTAGGGCAGTGAATTGGCTCTAAATTTTAGTCCATACCTTAAAGGAGCTATCCATAGTGCTTGCCATTTGGTGGGATAGGCTTCAACACATTGGATAGTTCCAACCCAATGCAGATTCACTGCTCCACTGACATGGAAGCTGCCAGCTACCAGGGGCTTATGACAGCTTAATAGCCCTCCTTTCCAGAAAACTGTAAAATTCACTATTAAAGAGAAATGATCTCGACTTGAAGAATGTAATGGTACATCACATCAGCCAAGGAACTAGACAAGGACTTTCTGTAACCTTTACAGAAGAAATTTCAGTCCAAAATAGCCTGACCTGGAAAAGGTAGCCTTGTCAGTTCATGCAGATCACTTTCTGA